TTAATTGTGTGTAATGGGTGTCAATTTCATCAGTGAAAATGTAACTAACAGCAAGGCAGGATAAAAATGGATTTCAAGTAACTGGACTCTGGTACAGAACACACTTTCCTGCTGTCTACCTTGCCATCCTCCACATTTACGGTTTTGACATTTGCGGATTTGATTATTCAGAGATTTGATTAAAAATATTTTCTAGGAATCTCCAGGTGTGACTTTATAATCAACTTCCTTTTGTCATCCGGAAAGTCCTGGAGATTTTAAAAGAAAACATATCTCTAGGAATCTTTAGGTCCTCCAGGGTAATTCTGTAGTCGGCTTCCAGCAGCAGTTGACCATATAATCGTACTGGAAGAAGCAGAGGTGTTTTCTCAGAAAAGAATAGCAATTTCTTTATCCACAGTTTCCTACTGTGCCCTAACCCCAGTGAATGTGGAGTGCTGACTGGTTCTGTAAAACTCAAAATTCTCTCACTACACAGTTATTATACAATGGCTCCATTTTATCCCCCGTAGCTTTGTGGGAGATAAAGCTATGTAGTTTGGTGAGGGGTGCAGCTCTTTTGCTGAGAGTGCTAAGGATCCCTCCCAAAACTACAAGTCCTAGGATTCCATAAAATGGAGTTATGACTTAAAAGTGAAATTGTGTGGCGTGAAATGGCCATCATTCAGCCTCTGAGTTTTAAGTGGACACTTTATACCATAGAGCTCTTATATCTATACAGGATAATTATTTCATCTTGTAACAGCTGAATAGAGATTTACATGTACACACAACACATAAGACATTTTTAGGATGTGTTGTGTTTCCACGCATGTTATTGTTGCCTGAAAGGAATGTCCATTTGGACCAATTTAAGTTGATGGCTTTTGTCCAGCTGCTGTCATCAGGCCCTCACATTATCTCTCAATTCGGAGGATGCTTTAATGAGATTTCTCTGTGTCCTGCGTGCTTTTATTCTTCCAACTTCAACAGAGCTTTTGTTTCTGAGATCAGAGTGTTTTTTTCTCGGTTGATACTTGAGAACTGAGAAATGTAATTTATACAAAGCTCAGTTAATAATGGGGTAAATTATAACTCTAGATGCTGTAGCAACAGTATATGAGACTAGCAGGAAGACTTTTAAAAAGACTGACCAAAGTTATTCCCCCTGGAATGTGGTAAATCCCTCTGTCTGGTTTTTGCATTGGAGGATATGTTTTGGGATGAAAACGTTTTCATGAAAGACATTCTGTTAAAGGAATTTGTGCTCAAGGAGTATCCAAACTGGAAAGATTATTTGTTAAAACAGATAGGAAAACCAGTTGCAGGAATGCCAGCACCAGCCATGCCAAATATCTATAACTGTGCCTGGCAAGAACAGTTTGTGTCCAAGAAAGGTTACATTAACATAGCAACACAAAGCTTATAGCCTCCCACATCTCACAGATGAAAACTGGGGTATGTGGCCAAGCAATATCAGAGTGTAGTCAAGATGTCAAAGGCTATTCCTAAGGAAGAACATACAAGCAACTACAGTCACAGCTGTTTGAGTACAAAAGGAGCACAGTGAGAGAAAGAGAAAAAAAACTGGGGCATTTTCAAATCAGATGAAAAGGTGAGGCAACAGAGGAATAGTTGGGACTGCCCTTGTACAACCAGGACACTGTAGGAAGGGATGTTGTTTCCTTTCTTAGAAACAGCTACCTAGACTCCTGGATACTAGATAGACCTGTGGATCAAACTGTATTCTACTTGGGTTTTTAGCTGTGCTGTAGCAAGTGATGCTGTTTCTATGTATCTAGCAGATTTGGGCTGTGCTGCTTCAAGAGCTTTCAGCATCATGATTTGTAAGCAGCCATCCTCAGCGCCCCTTGGCACACATTATAGATGTACTGTCAAAACCATGCCCTGACAGTACATCTATAATTCCCTCTATTTCTTAGCAAAACCTAACTTTTTTCCACTATAGGCTGCAATCCTACAGGCACTTACTTGGAAATAAAACTTGGTCTTAACGTTTTTCAAGTAACTGCACATTATTCTTAACATATAACATATGGGAGAAAAATGGCCATGGAAACATTCCCTTTGGCAAATACTGCAATGATTGGTATTTATTTCCCCATGTAATGAATAGCATTTACTTGTCACTAGAGGGGAGACTAACATGCCTTTGGAAGTTTTTGTTTTAATTGGAATTGATTTTCTTTTTCAAATTGACTTTCTATTTTTTAAATAGACTTTATTATTTTGTGACATGAATCACAAAATAAAAAACCAAAAGTAGAAGTCGTTATTTTACTTGCTACAACCAGTGAAGGAAGCTTGGAAAGAGAAGAGATACAATCACCAATTTTAATGTTAGCATAAATCTGAAACAATGGTTTCTTAGCACAATACATTTATGACAATATATGCTTTCATTGCAAGGCAAACATATAATCACATTTTCCCAAGAGAATTTTCTACTACATGAGTTGCATCTTTCTGGATCCTATTACATGCTGTCGCTGTCCAACCGCTTTATAAATAAACTTCATGGCCAAGACCTTAGAACAGGCATGGGCAAACTTCGGCCTTCCGGGTGTTTTGGACTTCAACTCCCACAATTCCTAACAGCATACCGATGGTTAGAAATTGTGGGAGTTGGGGTCCAAAATACCTGAAGGGCCAAAGGTTGCCAATACCTGTCTTAGAACCTGAAAGCTCATGCTATTTTTTTTTTAAAAAAAAAAACAACAGCTAGTTTAAAGGTGCTACCACATTTTTTTTCTCCCCTTGGGTTGGGATAAGCCTAATTTTATACTTTCACACCGTTGGACTAACAAACAATAATTTCACACAATCAAGTTGCTTAACTGACTCGTATCACCTTACACAGCTCTTTGAAGGTTCATTACCAGGGTCACAATTTGCATCTTTCTGCATTCTATTACAATTCAATCCTATTGTGACAGCTATGTAAACATACTTGTGTGTATGTGTGCCTTCAATTCACCCGTCAACTTATGCCTACCAGAAGAGCTTCATATATTTTTCTTGGGGCCCTTAGACACAGCCATATAGTCCAAGATATCAAGACAGACAATCCCACAATATCTTTGTATTTGTGGATACAAATAAAAAAGAAAAGGTGGCAGCACATTGTTGACTCAGAGTAGAATATTATGTACAGTTCAAAACTATCAAAAATGTATTGCACCACTTTGGTACAGGGTTTTCAAAATTACATTTTATAGCAAAAGAACGCATATCCTAAGCATGCATTTTTGATTCCTGTAAAATGCGTCCAGATGGATTTGTTACCATCTGTCCTATTAATACATACAGGGTATCCCCAAAAGGATTAGATGGGGGGTTTACATTTTGACTGTTTAAACTGTGGCTTTATTAAATATTTATTACATATGTCACGTGTTTTATAATTTTTTATTAGATATGTTGTGGTTTGATGATTATGTTTTGTGCTATGTAATATTTTTGTTTACATGTTGTTCGCCAAATCCTTTATTATTGTCTGGGGAGGAAGCATTTGTTATTCCTGGGGGAATCCTTTGTTATTGTCTGGGGGAATCCTTCAACAAAGGATTCCCCCAGGCAGTAACAAGCTACACCTAAAAACTGTCAGGCCAACAAATGCTAATCAAGGTGGCCAACTGAAACATTCACACCTATCTCCAACAGACAAGAGTGCTTTCTCCCATCCTGGATTAACCACAGATATATAAACCCGATTTTCCAACAAACCCCACTACCTTTGAGGATGCCTGCCATAGATGCAGGTGAAACACCAGGAGAGAATGCTTCTAGAACATGGCCATACAGCCCGAAAAACCTATGACAACCCAGTGATTCCAGCAATGAAAGCCTTCGACAATACATTATTATTATTATTAGATACACAATAAGATTAGTACACAGAAAACAAGATCGCTATGTTGGCTTTTGTATTCGATCACACACATTGGACACTTCCCAAGTGTCTATGGCTGTGTGATGTATGGGCAAACAATGCGTGCAGATCCAAGTTGGGTGGCATTTTGCAGACGACAGATGGTAATTTTGTCAACACCAATTGTTTTTAAGTACAGGCCAAGGTCTTTACGCACTGCACCTAGTGTGCCAATCAGCACTGGGACCACCTTGACTGGCTTGTGCCACAGTCTTTGCAGTTCGATCTTTAAATCCATAATAATAATAATAATAAGAAGAAGAAGAAGAAAAGAGCCCCCTTCAGCCTGATTATCTGGTGGTGTCTGCCTCCTTCTTTCTTCCCTCCCTCCCTCCTTCACTCTCTTTCTACTTCCCTCCCTCCCTTTCTCCCCTTCCTCCTTCCCTCCCTTCCTATTTCCCTTCCTTTTTCCTTCCTCCATACTTCCCCTTCCTTCCTCCTTCCCTTCCTTTTTCCTTTCCCCTTAATTCCTCCTTTCCTCCCTCCCTCCTTAACTCTCTTTCTACTTCCCTCCCTCCCTTTCTCCCCTTCCTACTTCCCCTTCTTCCTTCCTTCCCTCCCTTCCTATTTCCCTTCCTTCTTCCTTCCTCCATACTTACCTCTTCCTTCCCTATTTCCTTCCTCCCTTCCTTTCCCTTCCTCTTCCCCTTCCTCCTCTCCTTCCTTTCTCTTCCTCTTCCTTCCTTCTCTTCCCCCTTCCTTCCTCCTTCCCTTCCTTTTTCCTTTCTCCTTCTTCCTCCTTCCTCCCTCCTTCACTCTCTTTCTACTTCCCTCCCTCCTTTCTCCCCTTCCTTCTTCCCTCCCTTCCTCTTCCCCTTCTTTCCTTCCTTCCCTTCCTTCTTTCCCTCCTTCTTCTTCCTTCCTTCCTTCCTCTCCTTCCCTTCCTTCCTCCTTCCCTTCCTTTTTCTTTCCTCCTTCCCTTAATTTTTCCTTCCTACTTCCCCCTTCCTTTCCTTTTTCCTTCCCCCTTTCCTCCCTCCCTCCCTTCCCAGCCCCGACTTTGTTTCGGCGGCGGCGTCGGCGGCGTCCTGCGCATGCGCCGTGTCCTCCTCCTCCTCCGGCGGTGGCAGTGGCGGAGGGGGCCGCGCAGGAGGCGCAAAACGCCAAGGCGCCAGGCGTCCTCTCCTCCTCCTCTCCGTCCTCCCCCTCCCGCTCCTGGGGCCATGGCTGCCCGTTAATGGCGGAGGCAGAGCCCGCTCGGACGGCGACGGCAATGCTGCCCAGGAGGGCCGACCTGGAGCCGCGGCGGCTTGGAGGCAGGGAGCCGCGGCCGCTGCTTTAGGAGGACGAAGAGGGAGGCAGGCGGGCAAGGAAGGAAGAAGGGCGGGAGGGAGGGAGGCGGGGAACCAAGGAGGCGGCTGCAGCCCCCTCCTCCGCCGCCTCCTCCTCCTCCTCGGCTGGGGCGGAGGCCAGGTGAGAAGCAGGGGCCCTTCCCCTAGGTTGCAAGAGACACCCCCCATTTCCCCGAGCATGGCGTCTTCCATCCTCTCTCTCCCTCTTTCCTTCCTTCCTTCCTCGCAGGCCTTTCTTTCCAGGCTTGCCCCTTCTGGACGCGCCCCTCTTTGCCCCCCACTCTCCTCCTCCTCTACCTTCCCGCTCAAAGGGGCGCCTTGGCTGCCGGGCCCTTCCTCCCACTCCCCCATTGAATAATGAGGCGCCCTCCCCACCCCCTTCCCCAAAGGCGCCTTCTAGTCCTGAACTCCCCCTTCCCCATAAGCCTCTGGGAACCCCCTCCCCCCCTCCTTCCTCCCCCCCTCCTTCCTCCCCCTCCGGGGTTACTCGAGTTCAAACGCAGCTGAACTCAGCGGGGGGGGGGGGCTCAAAGCGGGGAGGGGGCATTTTGCAGCAAATACTAACTGGAAAAGTCTTGGGTGACTGTCAGGAGTGGGAAGGGGGAGAAGTACAGCGAGAGGAGGAAATCTCTCTTCCTAGTGGTTGTGAGTTGAAGGGGGGGGTTACTTTAATTTTGCAGCAAATATACTATTGATTGGGTTGTTGTAATTTTTGGGGGCTATATGGCCATGTTCCAGAAGCATTCTCTCCTGACGTTTTGCCTGCATCTATGGTAGGCATCCTCAGAGGTTGGGACAGCCTTGGGCCCTTTCCTTTTCCCCCTCAGCCAGTTAGGAAGGGGCCTGAGGCAGTCACAACCTCCGAGGATGCCTGCCATAGATGCAGGCTTCTGGAACATGGCCATACAGCCCCAAAAACCTATAACAACCCAGTAATTCCAACCATGAAAGCCTTCGACAATACTATCGCTTAATTGAAAAGTATTAAAAGTGTGTGGAGAAATGTGTAGTTTCCAAAGAAAGTGGAGTCCTGATTTGAGTTGGGGGTGCTCACTTTCCAGAGAGAAAGTGGCCTGGACAATCTGCCTCTCTCCACCAGGGTGTCGTTTTAGTGCCATTGGAAGGAGGATAGATGTGACCCCTCTGTTTTGGGTTTTGTAAATGCCTTGGCTTGTTTTCATAGTTTTTTTCACTTTCAGTAGAGAGACCCTTCGCAAATGGAGGTAAAGGTTTCCCCTCAACATTAAGTCTAATCATGCCCGATTCTGGGGATGATACTCATCTCCATTTCTAAGCCCAAGAGCTGGCATTGTCCATAGACACCTACACGGTCATGTGGCCAGCATGACTGCACGGAGCGCTATTACCTTCCCACATAAGTGGTTCCTATCTATCTACTCACATTTGCATGTTTTTGAACTGCTAGGCTGGCAGAAGCTGGGGCTAACAGCAGGAGCTCACCCCGCTCCCAGATTCAAACCTCCAACCTTTCAGTCAGCAAGTTCAGCTCAGCGATTTAACCTGCTGCACTACCGGGGACTCCTCTAGGGATGCCTTAATGCCAATTTTGGGCTTTGTAAACATTAGGGCTTGCTATTCCCTTGCATCCTTTTTACCGTTGTGCTTTGTTTACATTCTGACCAGAGTTGTAGAGGTGTGGAAACCCTCATCCCTAGAAGCCAAGGAGAGCTAATAAAATGCCAAAACCATAGGGAAAGGTTGTCCTTTCAAGAAAGAGCGGTGTCTCCTCCCCTCCTCCTGCCAAATTTGTTCAGTTTCAGGGCCCTGGAAGCTCCCTGCGAGAAAGAGAGGAGGAGAGGGGCTCCTCCATGGGACCAAAACCCAAGGCTTATGTAAGGCTCCCTGTCCCGTCTCTCAGCCTGAAGAGCAGGGCACTCTGCTTGGGCATCTCTCTTCTGCCACCCATTTGAATTATTTGATAAATGCCTCATTTCCCCTGTAACACTTTGGGGAGTAATTTCCCCCTGGGACTGCAGATGGGTTGCATTTCCCAAGTGTGTTTTTGACAGCTAGGTAGTTTCTGAAATCTGTCTCCGTATCAGGTATGACTTTGTCCCTCTGATAAGAAAGAGAGAGAGATGTGCAAAGGGGATGGACTGGTTTGGAAGAAAAACGGACTTAACAGATATAATTTTTCACATACTTCAGCATTTTTTAAAAAAAATATGTGGGTGGGCTTTTGTTTCTGCTCCCGTACAAAATTTAGATCTCTTGCTCTCTCCCATATTTATAAGGTGGTATAATTCTACCTGTCGTACCATTTTTTTTTTAAATGGAGCTAGGTTCAACATTTAAGTCGCACTATTAAGCAAAACAGAGGTAAAATTATTTGTTTACTATATTGACATCTAAAATAATAGGGTTTTTTTGGTCGTGTCAGGAGCAACTTGAGAAACTGCAAGTCGCTTCTGGTGTGAGAGAATTGGTCGTTTGCAAGGATGTTGCCCAGGGGACGCCTGGATGGTTTGATGTTTTTATCATCCTTTTTTGGGAGGCTTCTCTCATGTCCCTGCATGAGGAGCTGGAGCTGATAGAGGGAGCTCATCCGCCTCTCCCTGGATTCGAACCTGCGACTTGTCGGTCTTCAGTCCTGCCGGAACACGGGTTTAACCCACTGCACCACCGGGGGCTCCCATAAAATAATAGTTTGTAATAAGAAAATGGTTGCTTAACTTTTTAACTTTTTCCTAATTGTGGTTAGGGTATGCTGCTAGTTGTGGCCTAAATGCTATAAAGGCACCAGATCCTGTCTTATTTTGAAAGTTAAGCAGAGTCAGCCCTGGTTAGTACAGTTTTTTTTTTTTTGTCGTGTCAGGAGCAACCGCTCCTGTTGTGAGAGAATTGGCCATCTGCAAGGACGTTGCCCAGGGGACGCCTGGATGATTTTTAATGTTTTATCATCCTTGTGGGAGGCTTCTCTCATGTCTCCGCATGAGGAGCTGGAGCTAATAGAGGGAGCTCATCCGCCTCTCCCTGGAATTGGCTGTCTGCAAGGACGTTACCCAGGGGACGCCCGGATGAATTGACGTTTTATCATCCTTTTGGGAGTCTTCTCTCATGTCCCCGCATGAGGAGCTGATAGAGGGAGCTCATCCGCCTCTCCTCGGATTCGAACCTGCGACCTGTCGGTCTTCAGTCCTGCCGGCACAGTGCTTTAACCCACTGCGCCACCGGGGTTTAGTACACTGTTCCCTCACTACTTCGCGGTTCGCTTTTAGCAGACTCGCTGTTTTGCGGGTTTTTGGAAATGTTAATAAAAATATTAAATATTAAATGTTTATGTCCAGTGGAGGGCAGGGAGGCCAGGGACCCCAGAAGTACGGCGGCCAGAGGTGTGGCGGGGAACGCCAGTCTCTCTGGTCTGCTGCCGCCTTCCTGGCTTTGGAGGCTCTGCGGAGGTCAAGGAGACAGCACACTCGCTGTTTTGCAGGTTTTTGGAAATATTAATATTAAATATTTACATCCAAGGGAGGCCAGGGACCCCGGAAGTGCGTCAGCCTGAGGCACGGCGGGGAAGGCCTGCCTCTCTGGTCTGCTGCTGCCTTCGTGGCTTTGGAGGCTCTGTGGAGGCCCGGGAGGCAGGCAGGTAAGAAAATAATATATAAAATACATAAAATAATACATAAAATATTGTATAAATATCAAAATTAATATGGTGTCCCTACATGGATTTTCACTTATCGCGGGGGGTCTTGGAACAAAAAGTTGCCAAAATTCCCACTCTCCATCAGTTGTTGCCATAAGCTAGCATGTATATACATGTGCTTTCAAGCTACCTGTCAACTTTTGCATTTCATAGTTTTTCTAGGGATGGCTTGTTCAGAGAATACCCAGAGATGGTTTTGTCAGTTCCTTCCTCTGAAATTTAGCTTACAGTACCAGTAGTCTTTATTGGCAGGCTCCCAACCAGGTACAGTGTTCCCTCACTTATCGCGGGAGTTCCATTATCCCTTTTATTGTCCAAATACTTCTGGGGTTATGTGTCCATCAGATGCATGAAGGAAGCAGGGTTAGTAGGTTTTCCATGCCAAAATGCTGTGTTGTAACTATTTTAGGATAAGCAAACGTGAACATTTTTGAAACTGTGTGAATACTGGCAAAGGCATCAGTTGTTGTGCTTCTCTTTGTCCTGTGATTCTTAAAACCACATGTCTTACTGGAAAAAGTTGGCTGACCAAGACTGTGTGGCCTTGCATGGCATGAAAACTTATCAATGGCAAAGACATTTTTTTTTTAAATTATGGCATTAATAAGGAATTTGGGGTGGGTTTGTTTTTTTTTTTCCTTGCAAAAACAGTCACACGGTTTTTGAATAGTGATTCTATTCACATGTTGTAAATAACATGCTACAGTTCCCTTCAACTGTGTCATGTATTTGCATGTGCTGTGAAAAAGCGTCTCACCTTTTTGCATCATGCAGGAAACATCCTCAGCTCAATTTCCATTAATTTTGTGTTGGTGGTATATTATAATTAGTCTGTTGGTTGTCGAAGGCTTTCATGATCAGAATCACTGGGTTGCTGTGAGTTTTCCAGGCTGTATGGCCATGTTCCAGAAGCATTTTCTTCTGACGTTTTACCCACATCTATGGCAGTCATCCTCAGCAGTTGAAAGGTTTGTTTGAAACTAGGCAAGTTGGGTTTCTGTTGGTAGTTTGTACAGTTAGACCTTAGGCTAATATTTTACATTTCAGCTGCTCTTGAATTATTGTACGGCGAGATATTGTTAAGCTATGCTCACTTCCATATACTTCATAGAATCTTGACTTTAAAGAAAAGATGTAGAGTCAGGTGGATTTTATATGTTCCTGGTTTCGATAATAAAAGCATTTGACAAAGGTGCTATTCAGTTCAGACTGTATTTACTTTGCAGTTATCAGTCAAAATTCTATTTAAAAAGTAGAATGCTTGAATCTCAGGGATCATCTTAAGAGAGTTGAACCAGATACAATACATTCTTTACAAAACTGGCTTCTGTGAAATATTTATTTAATTCTCCAAATTTTTTACGAAGATACATAAAATTGTTCACACATCTTGTTCACATAAAATTGTTCACACATCTTGTTGGAGTTAATTCTTAAATAGTTGTCCTGGGAAA